TTCGGACGCTGCTCCCGACGCTATCTATCAATTCGATCTCCAAACGTACTCCGCAACTCGACTCGGTCGTCTGCGTCGCCGTCTTCCATTGGCCAGGGCAAGTTTCTTGGCCCTATTTTTTACAAAAAGGGAGCTGCGCTTTGTAATTTGACAAGAAAAAACCGACCTGTGAAATACATCGATGACGAAAAATTCAGATTATTTCGTGCAGGGGCCGGTTTTTACGGTCCATTTTAGATAAAGCCTGGAACCTTGAGACACCATATATATATTACTGCTAAGCCCATGCGCTTTGATAGCATTACCAATCGCAAGATACGCTAGAAATAACTCGATAAGTGCTGTCCCGGTGAACGCAAGTGTTTTTTTTTAACAAGCATCTCCATATTTCTTGCTAACTACAGCGACTGTTTAGAAATCTCATGCCAATGTTGTTTTGTATATACATATAGCCTCCCTTAAGTTCGTGAGGGTTTGGTAGGAGTATGAACCATAAAGACAAACTTCACATGTCCGTACCCAACAAGATGCTCGTCACATTGGACATAGGTGTATTTTAACAAACAGTCGATCACAATTATATAAAAATATATTTAGCTCCTGGGGAGTTCCACTTGACCTTCTCACAAAGAGCGACCCTAAAAATCTCGAACTTGTCGACCCTGCTTGCAGTGGTTACTTGAGAAAGTTCATAAACCTTATTAAAAACGAGACAAAAAGAAACAGCATCGAGACTTCCTAAAAAAGTTGGCAGAACACGGTAACTCGGCCATCTTCCAAATCAAATCAGCGGTGCGAGCAGACTTAACAATTCAACAACAAAAAAGAGGTAAGCCAGCTCAAATTTAACGCCACTTTCATCCTTTACCTTCCGCCTTTGTTGTCTCTTTCTTTTTTTTTTTTTTTTTTTTAACTGGAGTTTTACGAGGGTTTGGGACGAAAAATGTGCCTGATGGTTGTAGGAATCTAAGGGATCACATGAAAGCAATTGTCTTAAAAAAGGCACACCAAAAACAAAAAAAAGAGGAAAAAAAAGAATCTAACCTGCTTCGACCCGTTCTGCTCCGCGCACTTTGGCACTCAGTCCGTCGACGCCAGTTAACTATTTTATTTTATTTTATTTTTCAGGCGGCACCCCTCTTTCTTAATTTCGGCAAGCCTCGAGGCACTCTCGATCACTTTACTGTCCTGGCAATTCAGGCACGAGGACGCCTTTTTTGCAAAAGCCTTGCCATTTATTGTTATTTTATTGTTTTTCCTCTCGCGATTCATTTGTCACCGTCACGCCAAAAGAAAACCAACGCCTTTTGGGCAGTAAATGAAGGAAGCGGAAGCTTATTGCGTAGTGGAAATTATTGCCCTCTCGTTCGACAGAGGAGACGTCGTCAACTACACGCCCCGAAGAAGATAATTGTACCCAAAAGAATCTGGTGGTCACGTGTTATGTACGTACATCGTTTAGGTTCGTGTAATGCTTCGGCATTTATGAGGATAATGGAGAAGGAGAGGGAGAAATTAGGAGGGGGGGGGAGCAGCTAGAGACGAATTCAGATATTCAGTAACCGGCGTAACTGTTGCTTGGTGCTGAGTAACATCTAAATGTATTTGGGTGGTTTCATTTGAATTCGACCAAGCTTGTCGGGGTCGGTCCTCAGAATTATCTGTCAAAAATATATGTGAAATCCCAATCCCTGCGATGAACAAAACTGCCTTTCAAAAAAATTAGAAATATGTAGTTCGAGAGAAAAAAAATATGGAACGCTGCCGGGTGAAATGCGTGGAAATCGCGATTCCATTTCTGCTCAAGTTTAGACGGTCTTTACAAAATATTGACTTATCACTTACTCCTAATACTTTTTATACTACAAGTATGCGATGTGTTATATTTTTAGAGGTAAATTATAATTTTTTACCATTTTTAGTTATTTTTACATAAAATCGCAAACATGCCACCCAGAGCAATTTCGACTAACATTGGGATAGCTATATCAAACGAACGGTATGAAGCTATGTCATGAGACATATATCAATACGTAGCTATTTAAATAACCTATCGATTGGTATGTGTTTCTTGTTTATCGATTTTATTGAACACTATTGATTTCACCCCAAATATGTACAAAAATTGAAAATATACAAATTTCGAAATACATTTTTTCAAAAAGGCCATTTTTTATTTTCTTCTAACTTCTCTAGTTCATAGCCCATAAGGTGTAGAAATAGTGTATATAAGTCTTGGGTGTAATATTTTTGTTGTATTTTGGTGACAACCAGTTAAATAAGCCAATTTTAAGCCTGTCACTCAATCCTTGGTTCATCTATTCTGGCTTCACCACAATGGTACTGGCGGCCTCAATAATAACGATCGGTTTTAGAAGCCAGTTCATCATGATCAGTTTGCCATTATATATGCTCATGACGACTCCTGGAACATCTGACATACGTTACGGAGGGCAAAACCTACCATTCACGTTAACAGTAATGCCACCTGCAGTCTGAGAGCGGGACAAGCTAGACATTATATTTTGAGATTTGGCGGGCGAGTGTTCTTACCGATTAAATCGTTGAAGCAGAGTGCGGTTAAGTGAACTTGAATATGCAACCTATATGTTACATACGATAGCCCGGTTTGTGAGAGAAATGAAACCCCTTACTATTATTGCAAAAGCCGTTATAGCTATAGAAAGAACAATGATTAAAATGTTCTTATTGCTTTGTGATTTCGCCTTCAAATTTCACGGCTAAAGGAAGCTTCTTGTCATTTCCTTTACTTTGAAACACGAACAGGAGCGAAATTGGTAGGAATTAAGAGCGTAGAGCTCCCGAAAGCGGCAGCCGGCGTTTCACCAAGAGAGTTGGACATCTGGTTGTAATTTGTTTACGTAGTTTAAGAAATCACGAACAAAATATTTCTGACAGCCACGTAGAACTTGAAGACGACTCCTCTTCAAAATAAAAATAATAAAACAAACAGTTTTTTTTTCTTGCATCAAACGGGGTGCTAACGTAAGTAGCACTCTGTTCTTCATCGAACTGACTCAAACGCGGGTCCCCTTTGATCAGCACGAGGGAGAGCAATGATTGTCTCAGACGATACATTTGAGACAATCATTGATAAGCTTAGTTGACCCCGTTGACCTACGATAAGCTTTGCTGACCTCGTGCTCCCGACCGAGGCTGTTTATCGGACCGGTTCGCTGTCCCCAACTATCCTTCTCTGACAAAAGGACCTCACTGCGCAAACTTGTCTGTCTCCGTCTAGTCAAGGTTATCTAGGGGAGGAAACGAACAGTGTAGAGTTTTGACTTTATCACGCCGATCTCCTGAACGCGCGGAACTTTGTTTACGCAGGGGTCGCAACGCATCTTAGTTATGATCAATGTGATTTTTGGCAGTTGCCGGCAAGACCAGTCTTGGGCACGCAAGCACCACACCAAAGAGGAACTCTCTGTCGGCGTCTATCTCTTTTAAGTTCGTCTATTTGATTTTGTACGTGTTTCCTAAAGTTTGCAGTCCTCATTTATTCCCCGATTTTATTATCGTCGTTTTTCGCTATTTATTACTTCCCTCCCCTTTAAATGAAAAGACATACAGCGCGCTCTTTCTCGGTGATGGTTTTCAGCGATTATATTCACACAGTCGTCGATACCAAAACAAGAAGAAGATAAAAGCAGAAAGAGAGAAATAATAAACAAGCAAAAGATCGCGGCAAGGAATAACACACGGGTTTGAACGTAGAATTAGGTGGCCACTCGTATTTCTCACGTCCACGTTTCAGTCATGGCTGCAGTTTTCAGCGTCAAAAGGAAGTCCTGTGCCGACTACTTTGAGAGACATAAGCGAGTGATATACCGCAACCGACATTTTCGACCCGTAACCGACCTCAACGTAGAAGCATTGAAAAGAATTCTGTCTCCAGCCAAAGCTGCTACTGTTCTGTCGACGGATATGCTCTGCCAGAACTGTTTTCGACGCACCGGTGAGCAACTTTCAGCCTGTGCAATGAGTGACCCATCTTCAAGCTCTCCGGCAAGCTTCATTGAAGAACATGAAGTAGTAGATGACATTAACGAAGAAATATCTGCTAAAGGGCTTGAGACAACTCCCTTGCGCATGCCGTCTGTCGTAAACCCGAAGAGCCGTCACTCCTATGCGGCAAGAAAACAGCGGGAAATGGAAGTGTCGTACAGCAGACAAGTACGTAAAAAGTTGGCTACAGCATATAGCCTGGAAACGAGTGAGTCAAACTCTGGGACTGAATCTTCCTGCCTTAACTGTGACGAGTGGTGGGCAAACCTCAGAGAAGCCTTTGTCAAGACACCGTCTTACCAGGAGAGATGCCAGTTGCTCACGCTTGTGCCTGCAAGTTTAACTGTTAACGAGGTCGCACGTTTAATCCCGGAGGCATCGAGCTACATACTAAAAAAGGCCAAGCGACTTCGTGAACGTTTTGGCGTATGGGATCGTCTCGAGCCATACCAAGGCGCTAAGATAGGCGAGGACATCGTGCAGTCAGCCACGCGGTTTTACACCGACGATGATTTCGACTGTTCCCGGTAGAGCCCCAACAAAAAGGACGTTGTAAACATTATGAAGGATGGGGAACAACAAGCCGTTGTCAAGCGCTACATGACCAGGTCCATAAGAGAAGCCTACAAGCTGTTTAAGAAAGCTAACCCGGACTCCAAATTAGGATTGACCAAATTTTATTCGCTGCGACCAAGATGGGTTAAGCTGAACCCTGACCAAACCGTGTGTGCATGCGTGTGCTGCACAAATTTTGATTTGTGCTTATCTGCCCTCAACAGCGTACGGGAAGAAAAAATAACGGCTGAGGATATTGTCGCTCTGTGCCTTTGCCCAGACTCAACGCCCAATTGTTTACGGGGCGAATGCAAGAAATGCCCTAGCATTGATCGACTCTCCTTACAAGAATTACAATTGGTTCCAGATGAGGAGATTAGATTTTGCACGTGGGAGAATGGCAGTTTGGTGAATAAGACTGCGGACTCGAACGCCTTTTTGAAAGAGATGCAAAAATGGGCCACAAGGTTTTCTACTCACGACTTCATCCGTAGAAGTCAACGGGAAGCTGTTCGGATTGAGAAGAGCAAGGTGACCACAAGGCATATTGTCATGAACTTTGATTTTGCGGAAAACTGGACGGTGACCCTGCCACACGAAATACAAGAGCATCACTGGCACAAGCGTCAAATCTCCGTCTTCACATGTGTTGCGTCGACATCGCAAGGTCCCAAATGTTTCGGTGTCGTGTGTGAAGACCTGTGCCATGACACTGCCCACGCAGTACTCGCTCTAAGGTGCATTGAGGACTGGCTGGAGAACAACATTCCAGTTTATACGTCATTAACGTATATATCTGACGGTGCACCAGCTCACTTTAAGAATAGATTTCAGCTCTACGAGTTCCAACGAGCCGGTCTTCCGAAGGTGAAGTGGGTTTTTTCTGCCTCAGGACACGGCAAGAGCGCCTGTGATGGAGTAGGGGGGCTACTGAAGCATCAGGCGACGGTGCACAACCTCCGTTCGCCTGTGGATGAGGCCATACAGAAATCAACGGACTTTGTGCACAAGGTGGGAAAGTGTGTAAAAAATGTGACTCTCCTAAATTTAAAGCAAGACGACGTGAGTGATTTCCGCAAAACCAAGAGAGCCGAATGGGGATCCATACCGGTTCAAAAAGGCATCCGCCTCTCACACGTGTGGCGACTTGAAAAAGGGGAAGTCCGTCTTCAGCGAACTGCATAATCGGTATTTTAGTGCCTACATGTTGTTTCAAAATGTGTGACTTTGTTAACTGTGTAGGCAAATACCAGACGTTTCGTAAAAGCCTCTGCATGTATAGACGGGGGAGTGTTGTGCACCATGTATTTTATTAACGTGAATACATTAGTAGTTAAATCGAGTGCCTTTTTGTGTCGTGATACCAGCGTTTTTGTTTTTCATTTTGTGAGCTGTACTTTGTATTACGTGTGTAAGCTTATAAGCAAAATAAAACTATCTACATAGCTCAAACAGTTCAAGTTTGTGCAAAAAAATGTCCATGCGTTCATCAGCGGAAAACAATTTCCATGATCACAGAAGAAAGGTACTGAGCTGCTTCATGAGTGATTGTTTGGTGTTTATATTGAAATTACACTTATTTATGTCACACTGTGCGAGAGAAATTTTAAAGATGAGAACGTTCACCTGCCAGAGCTTTGGACATGTCAGCTCGTCTCACAAATAGACTGAAGGTGGCATTACTGTTAACGTGAATGGTAGGTTTTGCCCTCCGTAACGTATGTCAGATGTTCCAGGAGTCGTCATGAGCATATATAATGGCAAACTGATCATGATGAACTGGCTTCTAAAACCGATCGTTATTATTGAGGCCGCCAGTACCATTGTGGTGAAGCCAGAATAGATGAACCAAGGATTGAGTGACAGGCTTAAAATTGGCTTATTTAACTGGTTGTCACCAAAATACAACAAAAATATTACACCCAAGACTTATATACACTATTTCTACACCTTATGGGCTATGAACTAGAGAAGTTAGAAGAAAATAAAAAATGGCCTTTTTGAAAAAAATGTATTTCGAAATTTGTATATTTTCAATTTTTGTACATATTTGGGGTGAAATCAATAGTGTTCAATAAAATCGATAAACAAGAAACACATACCAATCGATAGGCTATTTAAATAGCTACGTATTGATATATGTCTCATGACATAGCTTCATACCGTTCGTTTGATATAGCTATCCCAATGTTAGTCGAAATTGCTCTGGGTGGCATGTTTGCGATTTTATGTAAAAATAACTAAAAATGGTAAAAAACTATAATTTACCTCTAAAAATATAACGCATCGCATACTTATAGTATAAAAAGTATTAGGAGTAAGTGATAAGTCAATATTTTGTAAAGACCGTCTAAACTTGAGCAGAAATGGAATCGCGATTTCCACGCATTTCACCCGGCAGCGTTCCATATTTTTTTTCTCTCGAACTACATATTTCTAATTTTTTTGAAAGCCAGTTTTGTTCATCGCAGGGATTGGGCTTTCAGATATATTTTTGGCAGATAATTTTGAGGACCGACCCCGACAAGCTTGGTCGAATTCAAATGAAACCACCCATTTGTTAGTATCTGTAAACACTTTAAAAGTTGTTTGCGGCTGTCGTAGCAAAAGACACATGTGCAGTACAAATAAAGATGACACAAATTGGTCAAACTCGGAAAGGAGGTAGGGACATAAAAATGATACTGACAACTCGTGTAGTCTGTATTATGCTGTATTCCCCTCTTTTGTATTCGTATTCTACCCAGCGACTGGCTCAAGTTTCCAAAACTTCAGTGGGTCGAACCATTAGTCCGGTCTGGATCTGCTTCACATCCAGTAGCTTTGCTTTTTGTTCCGTTTCGGTTCCGGTTTAGTCATGCATAAAAAAAAACGGTTCGGTCACCGATTCCACCAAGAGAAAACCGATTCAAACAGGCTGGCAAAAAGAAAGTCCACAGCTCCCAGTTGTCAAGAAGAAAAATTGTGTTCAACACGGCGTCACCTGGACAGGAAAAAAAATATATGCTTTGTTTCGTTTTGTGAGCTGGACTTTCTATTGTGAACATCGTTCTGTAGGAATTACGTGGTAATACTGGCGCCCGGAAACATTAATACCGTACTTGCATGTAAAGTCAATCCGACAGGATGCAACACGACTTGGTTCCGGTACCACGCACCGTACTTCCAAACCACTCACCCGTACGCCTGAACGCCTTACTTGAACGACGGAGTTCAAGAAAAAGACAGAGAAGGGTGGTCGAGCGTTAGTAAACAAAAAATGAGATAAGGAAAACGGCCGACATGCTGTTTTTCTAGACATATATATATACACACGCACACACATACACACGCACAAACGTTTCTTCAAGCACCGTCCAAGACTTCCGGCTGCTCTGGACGATTGGCGTCCCGGCGACCTGCTCAGCAGTGTCGCGCTCGTCACGGCTTCGGCTCTTGGCGCCTCCAGGTTTTACCACCGCGGAACCAAGTCGCACACAGCCTTGAACTTTTTGTTTTTATTTTGACATTTATATTTGCTTTTCTTTTATTGTATTGGTTAGCAGGAAGAAAAAAATACCCGCACACATAAAATTATATATTTTCAGCATTTTGGCATAGTCTGACATATGCTCCTGTTCGCCTTACGATGTACAGCGATAGACGGTACACGCTACCCCAGCCAATCTATAGCTCGTAGCTTGTCACGTGACTTCCCATTTCCCGCATCGTTTTGCCCAACCTGAACAACATGCAACACTCTTCTAGTTAGGGATTGGCTTCAGTGGTTTGTAGCGTCCGTTGCGGTCCATCGTAAGGTGAATCAAGGCATAGAAGTGTACTCCTCCGCGCCGACTCGCCGATGCCAAATAGCGCTGCATGTAAACGCAAAATATATTCACTTGTTTTATTATTACTGAATTGTCTTTACGTGGCTATCGTTTGTTTATTCAAAACTGTGCCGCTGACACCACATTCGCATCTATTGCTGTCTGCGGACACAATAGCAAAGTCCCAACCGCACGGACTTTCCCATAAACAACTAGCGAGAAAGTAGCGAAATTGAAGGTGATACAACTGGCGGCTGAGACTGCAGCGTTCACTCTGTCCACTGAAATAAGCATATACACTAATTAAAAGGAAGCATACAAGAAATATTTAAAACAACAATCCAGCCGAAGAAAAGCGGTCAAGACCATCAAAGCAATTTCACGCATCTACAAGTACGAAGGGCGCAAGATCATCGTACAACGTATCCCAGAGTATCATGGCATTCCCGTGAACGCCACCGCACATGCCAGCGCACTGGACCTACTCTTCTCTCTTCATACCCATACCGGCTCATTCGACAAGAGCGACGAAGGTCAACCAGTAAGGGACCCCACCGAAATCCACGAAGTAGACAAAAAACCGGAAGAACCATGGAACTTCATGGCGGCTGAACGCGAGGCCCGCCGAGAGCGCCTGAAGGGCCTCCATGAAGAAGACCCGGACCTCCTTCCATTTTACACCTAAACTCGATGGAAGAGGGCCTGCCTACGTAGGCTTCAGACGCACACAGCTATGCTTTCGAAAAGAACCGCCAGATTCATCAAAAAAAAGAAAGGGAATTCTGGAGAATCCACGAGGGATTCAAACTTCTGCATGCGCCTACTGAGAGAAGACAGCTTCTGAAGACCACGTCTTCTGGGACTTCTCTCACACGTGGATGATACGACACGAAGCGCTCGACATACTCCTTGAACCCCTAAAACCAAGCTTCCTCGAAGAATGAATTCTTTCTTCCGGAGCACCAGAACATCGAAGGGTCATCCTTGATTCCCTCCTCGCCGACGTGAACAGGGCCACGCTCACCCTCTTGATCTAACACATCAATCATCCTTGCTCTCACCCTGTTTTGGACTGATGGCACCTATCAAGAGTATAGGACAGTACCTTTTTTTTTATTAATAAAAAATATTCATAAACAAACTCCAGAGTCGATCATATTTGTTTCACTCCGGGCCGCCACACCCAAGAAGGCGCAGCTCACATTTTATTATGCCGAATCATTTTGCGGTGAACCCATAACCACCACATGAAATTACGGTTCCATTCCGGCTTGGGTTCAATATCATAGCAGACTATTCCTTACAACGTTGCTTTATTTTAAAAAGGAAAAGATAATACCTACCGATCTGTTCTAACTTAAATGTTTCACATGCTGTGAGGCGCCGCCAAAGCCAATGCAGCCTTCCGACTGTAGTGTCCTGAAACAATGTTCCTAAGATTTATATTTAAAAAATTATTGACACCATGTTTTATACTTGAGTATGCAGTCGAAACCCAAATGTGAGTGGTGGTGTTTATAGTTGGCTTGGTTATCTTATGACCGCGATTAATCTTGGTAAATAAATGACCATAGCAAATGTAAACATTGAGAAATATGGCAGGCGATGGCTTGTCATTCATCTTTGGGATCTGTTAGAACCCCGCTTTATTTAGTACGGTCTCATTTTATTTTACCAATCACGCTGCTTTCAGCGATTAGAAATATATGTGGAGATAAGCGTTTTCCTTATCTGCTCCCAACCCGCCATATTTAGCTCGATAAGACACAACTCAATTTTCTTTTAAATTAAATATAGCTACAAGGTTTTACACCTACAGCACTTCACCGTGCTCTAGGTGTAAAACCTTGCAGCTATATTTAATTTAGCTACACCTAGAGCACTTCACCTAGAGCACTTCGTTGCGGCCACGCCATACCAGGCATACAAAAATAATGCAATCTCAACTCAAACGACTCCTGCACAGGCTTCAATCTTTTTGTCGTGTTCCGATATGTAGGCTCCTGTTCTATCGCCCGAATTGAAACAGCCTCATCGAGTTCCGTCGATCAACAAAGACGAGCGGCTGCACTCACTCTGATGAGAACGTTCTATCAAAGATGGCAGGCGTACATCCTCTTTTTTGCGAATGATTTACTTCTGGGCACCCGGCTACTACGTAAATATTTCCCCTTCTTGTTCTTGTTTTGTTTTCTCTTGAACCTATGTCCATCACTAAATACAATGTCGCCACTCAGAAAGAGAAATATCCTAGTTCAGCCTTCCTCCACAGTTCCAGTCCTCCATCCAAAACTCTCGGATATGTTGTTTTTTTTTTGTCTTCTTCTACCTAGAATTTAAAAATTTGGAAACGGGATTGGCATTGTATACCAACCCAGGATGATGGAGACCATGGAGCAGTATG